CTCAAGAGGCTGAAGTGGTTGTTGGTTCTATTCAGCAAAATAGGATTTTTTTTTTTCCTCATTAAACTTTGTTTTAATGGGTCTCAAAATTCTGTGACAGATTTTTGGTCAAGTTGTTTCCATTTAAAAAGTACTGATTTTAAAAACTAATAACTTAAAACTGCCATACAAAAAAAGAAATAAATGGTCCACAAAACATTCCTTTCCTTCTGAAGGTTTTACGACGCATTGTTATGATTAACCAGTCTTTTACTATTAAACTTAAATGGCCAATTGAGACAAACAGTTTGGAGACTCTGCTTCCGCCACTAAGACTGGGGTGGCAGGTGTTATGGGTTAACATTCATTTAGCTTTCTGAGCAGATTTGGTGACCTTGGCAGCTCTAGCACCCTGTTTGTCCACTGCCTTGATGACACCCACAGCAGTTGTCTGTCTCATTTATATCACGAACAGCAAAACGACCCAGAGGATAGTCAGAGAAGCTTTCAACTACACGTGGGCTTGCCAGGAACCATGTCAACGGTGGCAGCATCACCAGACTTCAGGAATTTGGAGCCGTCTTGTAGCTTCTTACCAGAACGGCAGTCAGTCTTCTCTTTAAGCTCAGCAAGCTTGCAAGCAGTGTGAACTGTGTGACAATCCAGCACAGGTGCATAGCCAGCACTGATTTGGCCTGGGTGGTTCAGGATGATCACCTGAGCAGTGAAGCCAGCTGCTTCCATTGGTGGATCACTTTTGTTGTCACCAGCCACATTGCCAGGACGAACATCTTTGACAGAGACATTCTTGACCTTGAAGCCTGCATTGTCCCCAGGCAGAGCTTCACTCAAAGCTTCATGGTGTATTTCAACAGACTTTCCTTCAATGGTGACGTTGACTGGAGCAAAGGTGACCACCACGCCAGGCTTGAGGACACCGGTCTCCACTCTGCCCACAGGGACAGTGCCACTACCACCAATTTTGTAGACATTCTGGGGAGGCAGACGCAGGGGCTTGTCAGTTGGAAAGTTGGTGGCAGGATGCAATCCAGAGCTTCAAGCAGCATGGTTCTGCTGGCATTGCCATCCTTATGGGTCATTTTCCATCCCTTGAACCAAGGCATGTTAGCAGTTGGCTCCAGCATCTTGTCACCATTCCATCCAGAAATTGGCACAGATGTACTGCGTCAGGGTTATAGCCAATTTTCTTAATGTAGGTGCTGACTTCCTTAACGATTTCTTCATATCTCTTCTGGCTGTAGGGTGGCTCAGTGGAATACATTTTGTTAACACCAACAATTGTTTCACACCCAGCGTGTAAGCCAGAAGGGCATGCTCATGGATCTGCCCATCCTTGGAGATACCAGCTTCAAATTCACCAACACCAGTGGCAACAATCAGGACAGCACAGTCACCCTGTGATGTTCCTGTAATCATGTTTTTGATGAAGTCTCTGTGTCCTGGGGCATCAGTGATGGTCACGTAATGCTTGCTGGTCTCAAATTTCCGCAGCGAGGTATCAGTGGTGATACCTCGCTCACGTTCGGCTTTCAATTTATCCAAGACCCAGGCATACTTGGAGCCCTTTCCCATCGTAGCAGTTTCCTTCTCAAATTTTTTAATGGTTCTTTTGCCGATCCCACCATATTTGTAGATCAGGTGACCAGTAGTGGTGGACTTGCCCAAATCTACGTGTCCAATGACGACAATGTTGATACGAGTCTTTCCCTTTCCCATTTTGGCTTAAACTTTGTGATAGTTTTCACCAACACCTGTGTTCTGGCGGCAAACCCATTGCAAAAAAGAAAATAGGAATATTAAGATGGAGAAAAATGTAAGAAAAGTAGACACTGAATTAACTTTACTATGCTTAGTCTAATTTTTTGAATATTAATGTTCACAGGAAAAGCACTCTAAAAATAACAGGGATAAATTCTAGGCTTTTTGTTTGTTAATTGTGGTAAAAATATATATAACGAAACGTTTACCATTTCAACATTTCTTTCATGTTCAGTTCAATGAAATCAGTTACTTTCATCATCTTGTGCAACCATCACCACTGTCTGTTTACAGATTTTTCCATCACTCTTAACAGAAACTCAGTGCCCTTTAAGTAACAACTTCCCCTTTCCTTCTCCCTCCTGCCTCTGGTAACCACTGATAAACTCTGGTCTCTGTACATTTGCCTATTTTAGATATTGCATATAAATGAGATCATACAATATTTGTCCTTTTGTGGCTTATTTCACTCAGCATGATGTTTTCAATGTTCATCCATGTCATGGTGTGCATAAAGACTTCATTACTGTTTATGGCTGAGGAATATTCCATTGTATGTATATACCACATTTTGTTTATCCATTCATTTGTTGGTGAACATTTATGTTGTTTCCACCTTTTGGCTATTGTGAATAGTGCTGCAGTGTCCATTGGTGTGCAAGTATTTGTTTGCATGTTTGCTTTTAATTCTTTTGGGTATAAACTTGGGAGTAAAATTCTTTTTTTATTTTATTTTATTTTTGAATGGTGCTTTAAGTGAAAGTTTACAATTCAAGTTAGTCTCTCATACAAAAATTTATACATACATTGTTATGTGACCCTTCAGCACACTCCTCCTTTCCACCCCGGATTTCCCACGTCCATTCAGCCAGCTCCTGACCCCTCTCTGCCATCTTATCCCGCCTCTGGACAGGAGCCGCCCATTTAGTCTCATGTATCTACTTGAGCCAAGAAGCACACTCTTCATGAGTATCATTTTATGTCCCATAGTCCAGTCTAATCTTTGTCTGAAGAGTTGGCCTCGGGAATGGTTTTAGTTTTGGGCTAACAGAGAGTCTGGGGGCCATGTCTTCCAGGGTCCTTCCAGTCTCAATCAAACCATTAAGTCTGGTCTTTTTACTAGAATTTGAGTTCTGCACCCCACTTTTCTCCTGCTCCATCAGGGACTCTCTGTTGTGTTCCCTGTCAGGGCAGTCATTGGTGGTAGCCAGGTACCATCTAGTTCTTCTGGTCTCAGGCTGATCAAATCTCTGGTTTATGTGGCCCTTTCTGTCTCTTGGGCTAATACTTTCCTTGTGTCTATGGTGTTCTTCATTATCCTCTACTCTAGATGAACTGGGACCGATTGATGCATCTTAGATGGCCACTCGCTAGCTTTTAAGACCCTAGACACCACTTAGGAGTAGAATTCTTGGGTCATATGATAACTCCATGTTTATCTTTTTTGAGGAACCGCTAAACTGTTTTCCACGGCAGCTGTAGCTTTTAACAATCTCATCAACAATGGATAAGAGTTTCAATTTCTCCACATCCTCGCCAACATTTGTTGTTTTCTATTTTTCTGGTCATAGCCATGCTAGTGGGGTGAAGTGGTATCTCATTGTGATTTTGGTTTGCATTTTCTTAATGAGTAATGACATTGAGCATCTTCTCATGTGCTTGTTGGCCATTTGTATTTCTTTGGTGAAATGTCTATTCAAGTGATTTGCCTATTTTTGATTGAGCTGTCTGTCTTTTTGTTGTTAAGTTGTAGAAGTTCTTTAAATATACTGGATAATAAACTCTTCTCCAATATATAATTCTCAAATATTTTCTCCCATTCTGTGGGTTGTCTCTTCAGTTTGTTGATAAAGTCCTTTGATGCACAAAAATTTTTCATTTTTATGAAGTATAGTTTTGTCTTTTGTTGCTGGTGGCTTTTGTGTCATATCCATGAATCCATTGTCAAAAACTAGATCCTTTGTGAGCAGCCATCTAAGATTACTCCTCTGGTCTCACCTCGCCTGGAGCAAGGGAGAATGAAGACGACTAAAGACACAAGGGAAAGATCTAGTTGTCCCAGCACCACATATTGAACAGAGTATTCTTTCGCCATTGGATAGACTTAGCACGCTTGTCAAAAATCAGTTGACCACAGATGTATGAGTTTATTTCTGGACTCTAAATTCTATTCTATTGGTCTGTATGTCTGTTTTTATACCAGTACCAGACTCCTTTAATTACTGTAGCTGTATAGTATGTATTGAGTATGTAAGTTCTCCTGCTTTATTCTTTTTCAAGATTGCTTTGGCTCTTCGGGGTGCTCTGTAATTCCATGTAAATTTGAGGATTGGCTTTTTCATTTCCATAAAGAAGGCTGTTGGAATTTTCATGGGGATTGCGTTGACTCTATAGATTGCTCAGGGTAGTGTTGATATCCCAACAATATTAATAAGTCTTCCAATCTGTGAACACAAAATGTCCTTCCATTTGTTTAAGTCTTTTAAAATTTCTTTCAGCAGTGTTTTATAGTTTTCAGTGTATAAGTCTTTCACCTCCCTGGTTAAATTTTTTTTTTTTTTAATTCCGATGTATTGTTAGATGCTATTGTAAATGGAATTGTTTCCTTAATTTTCTTTTCAGATTGTTCATTGCTGACTTTGTGTGTTAACTTTGTATCCTGCCACTTTGCTGAATTCATTTATTAGCTTTAGTAACTTTCTTCTGGATTTTTTGGAGTTTTCTGTGTATCGGATCATGCCATCTGTGAAAAGGGATAGCTTTACTTCGTCCTTCCCAATTTGAATACCTTTTATTCCTTTTTGTTGCCTAATTGTTCTTAACTTCTCTATATAGGGAAATACTATTGGTCTTGAATGTAGTTTTTACAGAGTGGTTGGTAAAGTACATCACACACTAATTAAATAACTATGAGTGCTGTGGAGGAGAGTCCTATTGATTCTGCAAGTAGCATTAAGAAAAGAGCTAAAGAAAATATAACTATAACAGTATCGATACACTTAAAATTAAGAAAGATCTGAAAAATTTTTTAAATGTGATTACAGTGTTAATGATAAAGAAGAGTTTGAATTTTAGCAGTTTAGTGCTTTGAGGTTTTTTGAGTGTTCAGTTCTGAATTTGCATTAGTGTTCACATTTTATAACTAAATTTTCTTCTAATGTAAAATTATGTTAAGTGAATACTCATCTGAAATAAAATATATGTATAAAATATTTAAAGTAATATTCTTTTTTATCTTCTAGTTACGATTACTGGAAATGGAGAAAATGGTAAGGCACTTTTAGTCTCAATTTATGTAGATTATGGTATCTTAATTGAAACTCACCTACTTTTTATTTATTTAATGGTGACTACGTGTATTTTTGTTTTTTAGGAAGAAAATACCTATCTTTAAAATTTGAGTAATTAAAAGTAGTAGTATTGGTTTTAGTTTCATACATTGAATGTATTCTCGTGTTATTTATATAAATTGAAATAGCAATTATTTTGTAAGGCACCTAGCACCCAAACTTCTTTGTGTATATTTATGCAAATATGTCTGTGTTTTAAGTTCTTCAGGACTCTTTATAGTAGTTCACAGTGTTTTAATATCTGTCTTAACTTGATGCAGTTGAGAAGGGTATTGTTTTCCTTGGAAAAACTTTACTGCTAAATGGGGTTAAATCATTTATGCATTTATAGTTTCATGGTGTGCAGATTTTATTGATGATTTCTGCTTATACATTTGTTAAAAAATAGCATTTTACTAATTACAACAACAAAACAGCCGGTTGCCATCGAGTCGATTCCAACTCATAGTGACCCTATAGGGCAGAGTAGAACTGTCCCATAGGATTTCCAAGGAGCGCCTGGTGGATTCAAACTGCTGGCCTTTTGGTTAGCAGCCGCAGCTCTTAACCACTGTGCCACTAGGGTTTCCTTATAACCAGAATGTAAATTTGTAAGTTGTATTATAAGTTCATTTTGAAAAGGAATTAAAGTTTTTATAATGATTAGTTAAAAAGACTATGCCTAGAGGGAAAATTTTCTCAAAATTTCACCTAGATAAAAGAAAATTTTAGAAGTCTATTGAGATCAAATTTCAAAAATAAAATCTGATTTTATATACAAAAATCCAGAGAATTTCTAAAAGAGTTGGAAATTATTGATGAATATTTATTATTATTATTGGAGATAATTAGGCATTAAGCACGTAAATTTCAAATTGCCTTTGAGTCTAATTTATCAATAACAGACTAAACATAGACTCAATATTGGTAGGCTTACTTTTTTCTTTTCAATGAAAACTGTTTCCTTGTGTTGAAAGCACAGACACAGAGAGCAGAGAATTTCAGAAGTTCTTGTAAAAATCCTTTTTTTTTACCTTATGTCATTAGCTCTTGTGGCTCTTTTTACTGTGTCTTTCAAAGAGTCTTTTGATGAAGTTTTGTGTTTGCTTGTTTTGTTTGTTTTTCACTTAAGTTACAAGTGATTTTTGAATACACACTTTTTTATTTATAAATATGGGTTATTTCCTCTTTCAGCTTTGATTTAATTTGCATGATTAAGGTTTTACTTTTCAATATTACTTGTAACTAACCTATAGTTTATAGTATGTATATGTGACCAGAAGTTTGTCTATTAGCATTCATATTAATTTGAACTTTGTTATAGCAATATCTCTTCTATTACTGTTTACTAAATGTGATAATTACCATCTGTTAAGTACTTATGTTTTCCAGGCATTGTGCTAAGACCTTCATTTTATTTTATTTTTTGTTTAACTGAGAGTTAAGTTTTTTTTAAGCAAATAAATGTTTTGTTTTTGTTCTCATGGAAAACATGTATTCTTAAAATATAAAGTATTTCAGAAAATATTCTAAGAATATATTGTTTTACATTCTATTCTAGCCTTAGTCATAAATAACTAAATGATTCAGAAGTGTAAAGCAGCTCAAGGTTATAGTTTATCTTACAGCTATCCAAGAGTATATAGATGAGAGATGGCAAACTTGTTTAAATCTGGTGGCCAGACAAGAGTGTAAGTGAAACAAGCTGGGCAGAGATAACTTTGAGGTTCACCTCCACGTTAGCATGGCAGCAAGAGAAGGATAGGGACTGAGCTCCAGCATGTTTTGCCAAAGGAAAAACAAAGGAAGGGAGAGGCTGAAGTAATTTACATTTTAGTACTTTCTAATAGGCCTTATTCAAAACAAAAATTACATCTGATTTTCACTCGTGAGGAAAGGTACCAAGGAAATGGTTAAAATATTTGACCTTAGATTTTAGAGACTGTTCCCAGATTGCAAAAAGAAGCTTCATGGAGAGGGATAAAGCAGGAATTTTCAAACTTTTTAACCTCAGAGCCCCTATAACACTCTTAAATTATCGAAGATCCCAAAGAGCTGTGGTTTATGTGGGTTATACTTATTGATAATATTCCATATTAATTAAAACTAAAAAAATTAAAAGATTTATTTCGTAAAATATTTAAGAATAACAATAAGCCATTACATGTTAACGTAAATAACATTTTTATGAAAAATAATTATTTTCCAAAATAAAAAAATGTTTGAGAAAAATATCATTGTATTATATTTTTATAAATCTCTTTAATGTCAGGCTTAATAAAAGACAGCTAGATTCTCATATTTGCTTCCACCTCATTCATCTAGCCTCTGGGGAACTCCACTGTATGCTTTTGAGAGAATAAGAGTGAAAAGAATAAATTCTATCTTAATATTATGTAAAAAGCTTTTACCTTTCAGATGCTCTGAAAGCGTATGGGGAACGCCAGGGATCCCCAGACCACACTTTCAGAACTGCTTAGTACTAGAACTACTTCTACTGCTACTTAGATACAAGCATTTATTGAATAGTCTTGCATTCTTTTAATTTTATTAGGCAAGTGCCAGGAGTGCAAAATTTGCTGGTTCTGGTCTCAAAGAACTTAATAAAGACAAAGAAGTAAATAAACAGAATCTGAAGATTTGAAAAAGTACTGTTGGCATGCAGAGAAAAAAGCAATACAGAATACTGATAAAAGAGGGAGGAGTTAAAGGACAAAGAACAGACTCCCGAGAACAAGTCAAAGTAGTGCCATATAGACCCCAGACTTTAAATTTCTTTGCATCAGACATGGGAGCTCCCTTCCACAGCCCCATGGCCCCATAGTATCCTTGTCTCTGACCCATACTAGCCTCTTTCCAGTCTTGGTGGATCTTGTGCAGATCCGTATGCAGTTTTTTCATTTCTCTGGAAATGCCCACAGCCAGAAGCAAAAGACCAATATGTTAAGATGGTGGAATTATGGGTACTTTTAAGTAAATTTAAAATTTGCATTTTTAAAATGAAATATTCTAATAAATAGTATTTGCATTTTAAATGCAAAACTATATTTTAAATGCAACGTTTTAGTAATAGCGTTTTAATGGAAGTGAATTTAAGAGGTGAATCATTGCATCAAATGCTGAGTGAACAGGTAGATAGAATAAGGATTGAGAAGGGATACTGGATTTAGTAATTAAGAGATAATTAATGGCCTTTGCCAAAGCTGTTTTAATGGGTTGCTAAATGCAGAACCAGATTATGAGGAGAGTGATTTGGTGATAGGGGTTTCTGAGTGGTGCAAACAGTTAAACGTGCTTGGCTAACCAAAATACTGGCAGTTTGAGTCCGCTCAGTGGCACCTCAGAAGAAAGGTTTGGGGATTTACTTCCGAAAAAAAAGCTGTTGAAAACCCTATGGAATGCAGTTCCACTATTGACACACATGGTCACCATGAGTCAGATTCAACTTGACAACAGTAGGTTTAATTTGTTGGTAAGGACATGCAAGCAATGAGGGTATGCACCATTTTGGGAACTTTGGCTGTGAAGGAAAGGAGAGATGATATGATACTTTATGAGGAAATTAAGATTGAAGGAGGTGTTTGTTTGTTTGGTTTAATGAAAGGAGAATGTTAATTAAGCAATGTTTGTAAGCTGAAGGGAAGGAGCCAGTGGAGAGGAAGGTATGAATAATGCTAAGTGGTACAGGGGGAATAATTAATAGTCAGCAGTGTGCAGGAGAGAGGATTGGAAGAGACTAGGATCAAAAGCACTGATAACAATGCTGACCTTGGAGAAGAACACTCTGCAGCAGAATAGGAGAAGGAAAACTAAGTGAATATGAAAAAAAATTTTGAGGGAAGGGAATTTGAAAAAGTTCTAGTGAAGTCAGAGATGACATTTCCTAAGTGATGGATTCAGGATGAAATTAGAAATTTAAGAAGAGTAAGGGAGAAGCCTAAAGCAGCTTCTATGGGAAATAAGGTAGAGATTTAACTAAAGATAAATTAAAATAATTGATGGACTGTATGTCCAACCATTGTCCAAGATGGACAATATGAATTATTAATGAAAGGGGGAAATTCTGGTATGTGCCAGGTGCTGGGCTTTATAAAGGAGCCCAGTTCAACTTCATTTTAAGACTTTTCCACCAACAATGCTAGTAACTGCAGGAAAGAGGGGGTAAGGAGGTAGGATTTACCCATATTTGGGAGTTAGTAAAGTACAGTGTGTCATATAGTGGCAGTTTACATGTTGCTGTGATGCTGGAAGCTAGGCCATTGGTACTTGAAAGACCAGCAGGATCATCTGTGGTAGACTGGTTTCAGTGGAGCTTCTAGACCAAGACAGACTAGGAAAAAAGGCCTGGTGTTCTGCTTCAGAAAATTAGCCAATGAAAACGTTATGGATAACAACAGAATCTTGTCCAATATAGTGCTGGAACATGAGCCCCTCAAGTTGGAAGGTACTCAAGATATGACACAATAGCCTCAACAATGAGCTCAATCATACCAGATCATGGAGATGGTGCAGGACTGGGCAACGTTTTGTTCTGTTACATACATAAGGTTGCTGTTATGGGTTGAATTGTGTCCCCCCAAAATGTGTCAACTTGGCTAGGCCATGATTCTCAGTATTGTGTGATTGTCCACCGTTTTGTCATCCGATGTTAAATCCTACCTCTATGATGTTGATGAGGTGGGTTTAGCGGCAGTTATGTTAATGAGGCAGGACTCAATCTACAAGATTAGGTTGTGTTTTAAGCCAGTCTCTTTTGAGATGTATAGGAGAGAAGCAAGCAGAGAGACGGGGACCTCATACCACCAAGAAAGCAGCGCCAGAGTAGGGCATGTCCTTTGGACCCGGGGTTCCTGAGCCGAGAAGCTCCTCGACCACGGGAAGATTGATGACAAGGACCTTTCCCTAGAGCTGACAGAGAGAGAAAGTCTTCCCCTGGAGCTGGCATCCTGAATTCAGACTTCTAGCCTCCTAGACTGTGAGAATAAATTTCTGTTTATTAAGCCATCCACTTGGGTGGTATTTCTGTTATAGCAGCACTAAATAACTAAGACAGTTGCCATGAGTCAGAGCCAACTCAATGGCAGCTAACAACAGCAACAAGGTGCATGTGATAAAAGGTCAAGGGAGAATCTAAAGATGATAATGAGTCCATTGAATGGGCCATGGGTTTAGCATGGAGGGGGCTGACAGGATGGAGAATAGAAGATTTTGAGAAACCAGAATTTTTAGTGGAAGGGAGAACAGCAAAATTTGCCAAAAGTAGGAGGTCATGGTTAGCATTTTATCAGTTCTGGGCTCAGAAGTAGAATGTGACCATTAAGCTGATGGTGTATGTCATGGTGAAAAGAACCTTGGATTTTGCTATCAAGCCGGTATGGGTTTGAATCGTGGCTTTATCATTTTGTAGGTCAGTGACCTGGGGCAGGATACCACATTCTTTGAGCTTCAGTTTTTGAAACTGAAAGAATACCTAGAATAGCTAGAAATAAGGTATATGTAGATGTTCAGTAGGTGGGAATGGTGATTGAGTTTTGTTGTTTTTGCTAGTTGTGTTAGTTGAGTCGACTCATAGCGACCTTATGTGTAACACTATGAAATGTTGCTCAGTGATTGAGTAGCTATAGTCAAATATAGTTACTGTGAAGTTCTGTAGTTTTAGGATGCATTAGTCATGCAGGTGGAGTTATTTGCCAGGAATTTCACAGCGAAGGGGAAAAGAAGTGAGCAACACAGTTTACACTGGCCGTCGAGATGAATTAGAAGCAAAAGAGATTAGAGGCAAGGAGACCAAACTGACTTTTGCAGTAATCCAAATGAGATATGCAAGAATTTATGAACTGTTGTGCTGGCAGTGGAAATAATGAAGAGTTCAGTTTGAAAGAAGTTTTAAAGATAAAATTGGGAGTACTTGGTACTGATTAGATGTGAGATGTGAAGAGTCATCTGACACCTGGGTTCCTGCATTGGTCAACTGTGTGGATGGTATTTTTGTTCTCTGAGAAAAGGTAAGACTTTGGGACTTACATGGACTGGAACAATTTCAAAAGAAAATTTTGAGGTACATCAAAGGAGTATCAGTTTGTATCACATTATTTTATTTTAAAAGGAACTTTTGTAAACCAGAAATCTAAGGAAATATAATCTCAGACCAAAGAAAGGATGATACTTTGAATTGAATACATGTTAGCTTTATAAAAACCTCACTACATTGTTCTTAATGTTTCTCATTTCAGTGAAAACTTTATCCGTCTTTAAATTTGGGAATGCACAAAAAGAACCAAATTTTGGGAAGAAGAAATTAAGATACCTGGGTAGTAATAACAATAGCCAATATTTATTGAGCACTGTTATATAGCAGACACTGTTCTAAATGTGTTTTGCATGTATTAGCTCATCAATATTAAGCAACTAATTTTAATGACACAAATTAAGGGCTTTGATTGAAGTATAAGCAAATTATTTGTGGAGTACAGTAGATAACGCCAAACGGTAATGAATTCTGAAAGTAATGGGCAAGGCCTTCGTGGAAGAAATAACATTTGAATTGAAAACTTTAAAAATTAATAGAATTTCAAACGTTTATGTTTGCATGTATTTTGTTTTCTTCAGTGGGTTTGTGGTGCTGCATTCCAAAATGAAAAAGAACTTAAGCACCTTGTAGATAGTTCTTCTTATGAAAACCAGACCACTTCTTCCAAATAGAGAAACTACACAATACAACAAAAAGCATTAAGTTGTATCAGTGGTTAATACTTGGAGGTGAAAGATGTTGTAATGTCATATTAATCCCTTTGGGAAACAGTTATGGCAGGAATTTGAAGTGCCTAAAAATTTTTCTTGTTAGCTTATGTTGAAAAAGAGGATAAAATTTAGAATACCTTGTTTTGAACAATACAGAAATTGAGCTTTTCAGATTTGCTCAGTATTCATGGGTGTGGTGATTTCCTTCTTTTACAGTTCTTTGGATTTAATGTTCATAGTGATGGATTCTGTCTTAAATAATTTTGAGGCATATTTGAAATGTAGCTTTTAGGGACAGCTTAAAATTTAAAAAAAAGGAAATGTTTTAACTTACAAACATCCCCTAGCAACATAATAAAATTAAAACTCATGTCAGGCAGCAGTCTTTACTTACAAACTAGGCTGCTAGCCCTTAAATGCAGGAACAGGAATATTTCCTCATATCTAGTAATATTACATCATGCAGATAAAGGAGTTTATATATTTGATGTTTTCAGTAGTAATTGTATTTTAATGTATTGCTTTTTCCTGTTTTCACCTAGATTCAACAAAATGTTATTTGTTTTTATTTACCAGGAAAGGCCGTTGTTTACCTTGTGGCTTTCCATATGTTCTTTGTTATGTTTGTATGGTCCTATTGGATGACAATTTTCACATCTCCCGCTTCCCCCTCCAAAGAGGTAAATTTAATGTTGGTAAATTACCAAGTGCTTTAACTGGTTATGAAATTATTTTCCCTTGTGTTACCTTTGTTAAAACTTTACATAGTGCATTTGTTTGTTTCCATTCATAAAAATGCTCAGTAACGCCTCATCATTAGTCAATTTTCAGATACAAGGTATTGACATAGCATAGTAAAAGATTGATAATAGTGCCTGACATTTAGCTGTACTGATAACTTTCCTGCCATGCTGTGTTTTCTTAAATTAAAGACGTACTTTATATTACTGGAGTAAAAAAAGTCTTAAGGGACAGAATTGAGTTACAAAAGTAGAGCTTATATGTTAGAAACATATTTGTATTTTCGCAGACCTGAACAAATATGCTATAACTCAAAAAGTGTTTTGATTGTGGGAAACAAATTTTCTAGCTTGTTACTCCTTGATAATGACTAGTGTTTCTTCTAATTTGAGGTTTCATTTGGAAAAGAATGTGGGTAATCGTTTACATGGAGTAAAGTTTTAAGACCAGTACTTCTCTTCTACGTTGACGTAGCAGACTGAATTCTTCCTTCACTTAAAATTTAGTACAGCAAAGAGTATAGTCTCTAGATATAGGATTGTCTCTTGAGTTTGATTTTCTGCTCTTAATACATTACTTATCTCTCCGAGCCTCAGTTTTCTCACCTGAAAATGAAGCTAAAAACAGTGCCTACCTCTGTAGGATGCTTGTGAGGATTAAGTCAGATTTATCCATGTGAAGCTTTTAACATCATGCCTGACATGGGTAGCACTCAGATGTTAGATGATGATTGGTTGGTGATGACAATATAATTACTTGTCTTCATACTAAGTTCATCCAAATTCATTCACAATTATACACCATATCTTTGAAAGTAATATCAGTATCTGTTTAACTTCTTAATGAAGAACATATATACAAAGATATACATAAATGTACACTTGCTGAATTTTCACAAACTGAACACATGTGTAACCAGCACCCAGTTCAAGAAAACAGAACATTACTTGTACCCTATAAGACCCTTCATGCTTCTTCCAGTTACCCACTCATAAGAAACCACTGTCCTGCCTTCTAACAGCATAGATGTGTTTTGCCTGTTTTTGAACTTTATATAAATGGAGTCATACAGTACAAATGCTTGTGTGTCTGGCTTCTTTCATTAATATTCTATTTGTGAGATTCATCCATGTTGATTCATCCATGTTGTTGCATGTTGTGTAATTGCTTATTTACCTAGTCAACTGTTGATGGGCATTTAGGGCTATTACACATAGAGCTGCTGGAAACATTCTAATGCATGTCTTTGGGGGAACATATATATGCAGTTCTTTTGGGTAGATGCCTAAACGTGGAATGGCCGGATCATACGTTGTTTGTACACTTGGCATTAGTAGATAATGCCAAACAGTCTTTTGCATTTTTTCTGCTGAATGCTTTTGTTTTAAGGGGTGAAACAAACAAACAAAAAAACCCGTTGCCATCGAGTCAGCTTCGACTCATAGTGACCCTGTAGGACAGAATAGAAGCACTTCATAGGATTTCCAAGGAGCAGCTGGTGGATTTGAACTGCCGACGTTTTGGTTAGCAGCCAAGCTCTTAACCACTGTGCCATCAGGGCTCGAAGGGGTAAATAAACCATAAATCAAACCTACTGTTTCTTATATATATTCTTCAGACATTTGGTAATTGGTCACCATCCTTAAAATTGTGCCACAAACTGCCATCCATTTCTTAAAGTTTAAATTGAAAAAGGCCTAATTCAGCATCATACTCTGTAATTTTTATACTCTACTATGAAAGTTTCAGAGACCAGTTTCTGCTTAATGTGAAGGAAGAACTTTCTAACAAGTTGGAAGTGTCTTAAAATAGAATGGGCCATCTTGCAAAGTAGAAAAGTGTTTCTGTCTCTGAAAGTATTCCAGAAGGGTGGATGTATCAGATGTGTTACAGTGAAAATCCCTGCTTATGCTAAGTTAGATAAGTGATCTCTGCAATCTCTTCCACGTCTAAGATGGTGTGAGTCTTTTCCGACCCCTTTCCATCCTGTTCATTTGTCCATGTTGCTTCTTGTCCCTTCTAAGTAATTGGGAATTTCTTGTGCCATTAGGATCTAATTGTGGGAGCCAAGCTGTAAGCTAGGTAATCCAAATATATATTCTTCTACTTACTAAAGTGTGGTATTTTGGTCAGATTAGAGTAATAGCCTGTAAAAAGCAAGAGTATTTGTCTAGATTAACAGTGTAGAGGAAAACATACTGTAGTAGCACTCAGAAGACCTGTATTTTAATATCAGCTCTGCCAATATTTATGCAATCTTAGAAAATTCCACAAGCCTCTTGGGACCAACCCAGGGCTTTTTCTTCTATGCCAAGCTACTATCTTGTTGATAACAGAATGTTAAACTAATACTGTTATTGATAACAAGGCAGCACAAGTATGTGAAGTTTTCATATTTAAGTCAGCAGATAGGCCAAACTACTCACTGAATATGAAAAATAAAATTCCATTCATGATTCTTTAGGCCTTTTCAAAAAGAACTCTATAAATAATAAAAAAAAAAAATTGAGGAACATGATCAAGAACAAATTTCTAACTACTCTTAGTTTAAAAAAAAATTCTGCAAAATGAAGACTGACAAGCTTAAAGCTCCTTGTTACATTAAATCAGGCATAAAACTTGAGAGTCCTTGAACTGCTGGCATGACATGGAAAGACAAGCAGCTAACCAAGTACTTCTGTAGAGAAAATGCTATTAAAAGAAATGAGCCAGAGGCTGGCCGTCTCGTGGGAACAAACACTAAGAAATGGGAACTAGAAACAAAATAAAGGAATCTCTTCCTGAAAAAGGAGACTATGCTTGCCTTGACAATCCTTTATAATTCTGAAAACAATAATCCTATCAGCTTTTTTAAAGCTAAAATAAAGTAGTAAAAGACCTTTTGAAGAATTAAGTTCAAGTTCTCTTGGACCCCAGACTTTATGGGGCCTAGGAGGCTGGATGAACCCTGAAACTACTGTCCTGAGATAATCTTTAAAACTTGAACCAAAAATGTACTCTGAAGTCTTCTAAAAAACAAATAATAGTTAACTAAAGTAGTAAAAAATGTCTGCCTTGAGTGTTATACTCTTTTAGAAACTATTGTATATGGGATCAAAGTGACAGCAGCAACTTGAAAAGTTAGATGGGAAGCTTAGGTGGCAGTGAGTTTATATTAATGGGGAGGAACAACTCAGAAAAGGAGGGTGGGAATAGTTGCACAACTTGAAGAATGTAATCAGTGTCACTGAACTGTACATGTAGAAACTGTTGAATTGTATATTTTGCTGTGTATATTTTCAGCAACAACAACAAAATAAAGTGTAAAAAAAAGAATAATGACTTGATGACCTCATGGAAACATTTGGCCACAAAACAGTGGAATCCCATTCCTGTGATTTATCCTATTACCCAGAAGCATGAATCTTTGAAAATCCTTTAAAAATTAAAAATCTCTTGACAGTAACTTTCCAACACCAAAAGTTTTACTAATAGCAAGTATATATTAAACTTTTTTGATGGAGGAATTAAATCTTATTGTGAAGTAAAACAAAGATACAAAAATATTTAGCCTGTGGTCTTTGCCATCATTATTAGTATGAAGGGCAAATATTTTTTAGTATGGCAAAGGCATATAGTTTTTATTAAAATGTGCTTAATTTAACTTCTTAAAATTAAGTTTGAACACAAGTTTTGCCTTCAGAAAACAAAATCTTGTGGGTTTTTTTTTTTCTGTTCTGGATAGAACTCTTTCTGAGCATGATGGTAATATTATGGGGTAAAAAAAATTAATAGTTTTCTCTCTTTTTATAGTTCTACTTATCCAATTCTGAAAAGGAACGTTATGAAAAGGAATTCAGCCAAGAAAGACAACAAGAAATTTTGAGACGAGCAGCAAGGGACTTACCTATCTATACCACATCAGCTTCAAGGAGTAAGAACAACAAATTTTAAGTTTTCCTTTCCAAGTGTTTTTTAAAATATATTCATCTCTGCCATGATGTATTTGCATGATTTGACTATTAATTGCCACAGATGACATCTGCAGGAACAAAATTTTCCTGTCTCCTGCATGTTTATGTTATTTTAGATACAGATATGTAAATATGTATACAGATGTTCTTAAGAGGCTCACCTTAATGTAAGAGTCTCGTCTCTGCATACTCTTTTTTTTTTTTAACTCATCCTTCATAGCTAAAACTTTTCAAGTATTATTCTTTTGTATGTCATCACTGAGTAATACAAAATTATAGTTAATCAAGAATATGTTAACTTAGAAGGAGAAGAAGCAAAAGACAAAAAGGAAAAGAAATGCATTCAAGGTCATTTATTTGCTTTGGCTCTACTCTTTCATTTGAAAATTACTGGGGTGAACTACATTTCTGGGATTTTTTACCACTTGGCATTTTGATTTGAGACATTTCAGTGCATCTTGGTATTTAAAAATTATTAGTTGTCAATTTCCCAGAGTTGTTCACAAAAGAAATGAAAGCAAGTGTTAGTCAAAATAGTTAACTTGTATATCCTTCAACAGCTTTCTTTTAATTCTTAAATGTAGCCATCAGATATTGCGAAAGATGTCAGTTGATTAAACCTGATCGTGCACATCACTGCTCAGCATGTGACATGTAAGTGTGATTCACTCATTTGTTCCTGTTTGAACCTAGCACTGGAAGTTGCTGTTAGGAGAATGTTAGGGAAAGGAACATTTTATATAGTTTATACTTATCAAACATCTCCTCTCCCATTACTTGCTATGCATAAAGGGCTAACGGAAAAATTCATACAGGCTAGGATATACCCAGAAGTAGTCTTTGATAAGTTCCTGTACTAGTTGATAGAATTTTCTTCAGCTTCCTATGCTTGTGTTTAATATAATATTGATGAGCAAGTAGTAATAACCACCTTGAGAAAGGTTTTTGTTTCCTGTATTTAAAAGACTGTGACAATTTTGCTGTTTTATTATTAATGTTGATATTAAAACTTTCACAAACCAGACCAGAAGATGCTGCCCAGCAATAATCTACTCCTTGTGCATATGGGCCCATTGTAATACCTTGTGAGAAGGTAGTGTGTGGAAGGAAAGAGCCCTAGTTTGGGAATCCTAGTTAATCCTTGATAGATAAACAAGCTGCTTAACCTTCTGGGTATTAGTTTACTCACTTGTTATATTATTTGAGATGGTCTGTGGTCTAAATTTATATAAATATAGAATACATATACTTGAAGGGGCAAGTTTGGGAGGATTTTTTTTTTTTCTGATTATAAGAATAGAGCAAAAAAAAATTGAAGATAATGGTGATGGAATAATTTGGAAAAGGATAGTGAGTATAGCAGCACAACTGGAAGAATGTAATCGATGTCACTGAATTGTATATGTAGAAACTTTCAAAATGGTGTAACTTTGTCTATGTGTATTTTCACCAAAAAAAGGTCCTCAAGGTCGAGAAGGGACAGTGTTGACATGTCATGGGCTTGTTAACTAATGTCATAAAGCAATATATGTACTGACTGTTTAATGAGAAACTGCTTGTTCTGTAAACCTTCAGCTAAAGTACAATTAAAAAAAATTTAAAAAAGAAATTATTTTAAAAATAAATAAATTAAAAAAAAAAATTGACCAACAAGAATAGAGCAATACTTATCCATTGGTAAAATTTTATAAAATATGAGGGAAAAAAATCATCTGCAATCCCATCAGTGTTAATATTTTGACATATTTGCTTCTGGAATTTTGTTTTTATGGCCCGCACACATTTAAAATAACATATAAGAATCATCTATATTGCATTTTATTTCCCTCAGCTAATCTGTAAGCTGGAACGATCTAATGTACCAAGTACCAGATCTGTGCTTTAAACTGTCGTTTGATGTGGTCCAACGCAACTGGTTGTGCTGAAGTGAATTCTCAGTAGAAAAAAGCATTACCTCTTATCTGTGAAGTTACTTGTGGAAATATCAGAAATTATCTGTAACCTAATGTTTGCTGGGTTGGTTTTCTAAAATTTGTAAAAGGAAAATTTAATTAAAATTAAAGAAATTCGAATTGGAGGAATTTTTCTCCATGAATTTTCTCGTTTGTTTCTTAGATGTATTCTTAAGATGGATCATCACTGTCCTTGGTATGTAAAAGAAAAAAAAAAGGGAAATTATATAATGGGGTGAGAAGGAGGGGAGGGGAGAATTTAGAGTGATTAATCTCAGTTTTGCTATTTTGAAGGTCATTTTAATTATTCATAGGCATAAGATTGATCTGTCTGTGTGTGTGTGTGTGTGTGTGTGTGTGTGTGTGTGTGTGTGTATACGTATTTCTATGAAAGGCTTTTCTTTTAAAAATATATTCTGATGTCCTTAATTAAGCCAAATAATGAATGGTGTATTTAAGAATTAACATTAAAATTCCAATATTTGTCATAATTTTGTTCCTTACAGAATTTATTAAAACCACAATTAAGACATTGCTCCCTTACACTTTCCAAATGATCTGTTACCAAGTAACAATGATTAAATTTTCTGATTTAATCTTATTTTTACAGTGTAACTTTCTTTATTCTTCTAGGGTGAATAACTGTGTGGGATTTTCTAATTACAAATTTTTCCTGCTGTTTTTATTATATTCCCTATTATATTGCCTTTTCGTGGCTACAACAGTTTTACAGTACTTTATAAAATTTTGGACGGTAAGTCTGTTTATTGTCTTAAATAATATTTTAGACTTTTTTAGATACTATATTCTTAACGATTTATTTCATTCTTTATTATAAGAAGATATACTTTATTCTAATTTTACTGGTTAGAATTTATAATGGATCAGAGGGTAGACAGGGCTACAGTTTACCTTTATACACTGATTTATTTATAAATGATATTAAACAGTTTATTTGTAAATGATATTAAACAGGATATAGTGAGCTTCTCTCTTAGTGATCCAAATTGGTTCAGCAACACGCTACCAGTAGTTAAATCACGTTTAGGGGAGTAATTGCTTTTCTTTGAGTTAGTGAGACTTACTGCAGTCTGACAGGCGTAAAAATGACATCACCAGCCCCCAGCAACCACTAATCTGCTCCCTGTCTCTATAGGTGAAACACTGTTTCTCATGGCAAATGATTGAAAACAATCCAAATGTCCATCAATAGGGGCTACTTATACTAGGATATATGTTTAGAAAGGAATAGTGTTCATCCTTAAGAAAGAATGAGGAAGCTCTTTATGAGAAATTAATGTGAAATGATCTTCAAGATCTGTTATTATGTGAACGTATTTAGAATGTATATAGTATGCTGCCTTTTCTTTTATAGTATATATTTGTATGTGTAAAGATGACCTCTAGGAGAGTGCATTTAAAAATTGCTAACAGTAGTTGCCTCTGGAGAGTACAATTGGAATGGAAGGGAGACATGCATTTTATAGTTATCCTTTGAATTTTATGTACTAGGTAGAAGTATTAATCTATTCAAAACAGATAATAGAGTTTAAATTTTTTTTTAATATGGAAGTATATGACTTAGGGAAAAAAAGCTACTAAAATTGTTGAAAGTAACTGCTTTTTGGGTTGGGGCAGAGAACAACTGCTGTTGTTCACTAATAACCTTTTAACACTATTCGATTTTATCTGTGCATGTACCATTTTGATAAAATTTTTAAATTTTAAAATAAAACTTTCCACCCCTTTATTTAAATTCTATCTTTAGGTGTCAAGATATTATTCACAACTAATTCTTTGCCTAACCCTTCTTTCTTTCTCTCCCTCTACCCCACCTCCCCCAGCCCCTTAAATGTAGGGTTTGTTTGTTAGATTGATTGATTTGATCTTTCCTGGAATTACACTTATAGACTCATTTAGGGGAAAACAACATCTTTACAGTCAAATACACAGTATGAGTTTTTCCTTCTATATATTTTACACATTTTGAGTAACATTTTTTTCTAAATATTTTATCATTTTTGTTGTTACTGTGCAAGTGATTGTTCTCCATTGTTTTGTTTTGTTTTTAAATAATAGTTTATTGAGTTTTTTTTTTAAATATTTTATTGTACTTCAGGTGAAGGCTTATAGAACAAATCGTTTCTCATGAAACAGTAGTACACATGTTGTTTTATGACATTGGTTAACAACCCCACAACATATTAACCCTCTAACTTCTCAACCTTTTTT